AACTTTTGGCTAGCTCTCAGCAAATTTGCTCTGATCACTTCGAGCAGTTCTTGTTTGGCTTGATGGAAGCCGAAGTTACCTTCTTTGCGTTCTGCCAAGCACCGCATTCTCCATATTACCATAAGCAGGGCAAACCTCATGTATTTAAAGAGGATCGCCTGGAAGAGCGACCAGGGGGGCGGAAAGCTTTTCCTGTTGCCTAGTAGGATGAGGGCCACATTCCATTGGAAGGGTGATGAAGTGAGCTCATGCCACATCGGGTCCCACCATTGCCACACCTGCAGTGCCATTGGGCACGCCAACAGACAATGTTCCAGATCTGCACGTCTGTGTTGCATGCCTTCCCCGCAGAAAGAACAAATGGGGGACATGACTTCTGCCTGTTCCAACTTAGTGCGTGCTATTATCGAGTCTGGCGTCGGGAGACAGCGGTGTGTTATCTGCCACTGCAGGGCCCTGTGAGATGTCGGCATTATGTGTGCATAGGTGGGCCAAGGAATGTGGCACAGGTCCCTATCTTGCAGTGGCGAATTCCTCCTCCATCTCTTTTGCACCACCATCGTGGAGTTGTGTATTCTGTGCGCTTGTTTATAGCCTCCTCTCACCGTGTATTGCCAAATCTGTGTCGGTTTGCAGCCTTTCCACTCCCACTCTTCAGGGTCGAATGGGAATGCACACACCGGGGTAGTCATTTCATAAGCAAAATAGCCTAAGTCCTCAGTCCCGATGACTCTTATCCTGGATAGTTCTTCTAGTGGGCGTATGCTATGTGACACCCGCGGCCTAGGCCGCGGGCATTTCGGCCGTTGCGGCCGAGATTCCCGGCCGCGGCTGCGGCCGATGAGGCCCAGTCCGCGGCCTAGTTTTTCAATATTTTTTTTCCCCCCTAAAAATATGTAACAAAAAGAAATAAAATAAAATGGGGGTGTAGGGCTTGAAAAACCCTACACTCCTATATTTTTTGTTTTGGAATCCGACTTTGTTTAGGATTTTTAAAAAATCAAAAACTAAAATCGATTTAAACAAAATTTAAAAAATAAAAATAAAAAAAAGCAGGAATTTTTTTTTGTCATTTTTTATCATGAGATATACGGTCCCTGAGTACACCAGTGTTTTTTTTTAAATTGGATTTTTTTTTTTTGCAGGGAAATGAGGTGTTAAAAAAAAAAAAATGCAAAATTTCAAAAAAAAAAACAAAAAAAGGGTATGACTGATTGATTGATTGATTTTGTGTGTGTGTGTGTGTGTGTGTGTGTGCGCGCCCCAAGGAGTTGCGCGGGAGCGGCGCGGGGAGCTTGCGGCCCTGCGGGAGTGCGCGGGTAGCTGCGCGCGCGCGTGCA